AGACATAACCAAACGTCACTCTTGTGCGTATCTTCTCACCTCTGGTGGTTCTCCCTTCCCCATAGTGTCGAGTGAGGCCCTCCTTCGGGATTTTTCAACAGATGACGTGCCCTGTTGGCTATGAGGAGCGGCACTAGCGCCTAGCACACTCGCTCGTAAATACTGGTTAGCGGCCTGTTTGAAGTTGAAGCTTTTGTCTATAACTCAGCATTCTTGCCGTGAGTTTCGAAGCGTCACCATGAGTCAGTGGCTATCATTCTTCTATTCTAAGCAGCAACTTCGTGTGTCTGCTTGTATGTATGTTTGTATGTCTGTCCGTCCGCAAATGCATAGCGCGCTAGCAGTATGATGTCATTTCCAACAGGTAATGTAGGCAGTGGGACGGGAACACCACTGGGTGGGTGACAGGCAGTGATGTCAGTTGATAAGATCCGTGGATAGGCTTTCAAAGGGGAGGTCACCTTACCGATCCATAGCGTGTGTGACAGTATCATCTTTCTCTGATTCCAATAGGGTTTGGGTGACTCGAACCGATAACTACTGATAGGGGCTGATAAGAGACGTTGCAGTCGTCGTCGCTGATCAAGGTGGTTCACGCTACCAAAGTGATGGAGATTTAGAGATGGGGACATTGGTGATGGGTGGTGGTGACGTCCGTTCCTCCAAGTGGTGCCACCGGGACCTGCTCGCTTTTGCGGGCTGAGCAGAACGCGGACGAACACGAAAGCAGGCGACAGGCCTTCGTGACGGGCCGGCTTACGAACACCCCATGTCACATCATCATGTTTAACTATGCCTTATGAATTTCGAGATAATGCTACGGCGTCCGCGGGAGCCGACGCGCACTCGCAAGGCCCGACGAGTGTGAAAAATATGCGAGGGTCCTCGATGCAAGGACGGCATCGGGGGGCAACCAGGCTAGTCCAAAAGACGTGCAGTGTGTCAAAGGCTCGTATTGCGACGCTGAACGTGGGGACGCTGACTGGACGCTCGTACGAGTTAGCAGAAGCCCTAGAGCGTAGAAAGATCGACCTCTGTGCAAACGAGATGGGCTGGTTGCAAGTCGAAAGAGTTAGGTCTCGGCTTCAAAGCCGTTCTTTGTGGCGGGCCGAAAACTACAAGTGGTGTGGCCGTGATCGTGTCTCAGCGATTCGCGATTCGATTCATGAGCGTAGTTCGTTTCGACGACCGTTTAATGAAGATTGTTGTCGCTATTGAACAACGACTGTACCACTTCTTCTCTGCATATGCCCCACAAACTGGATGCTCTGAGCAGTCCAAGGACGAGTTCTGGGCTCTGCTGGACGAGAAGACGGCTGAAGTGCCACCAAAAGACGGTATCATTGTAGCCGGCGATTTAAACGGGCACGTGGGCGCTGCAAAAGACGGCTATGCTTGTCATGGCGGATTCGGCTACGGTTCACGGAACGCCGATGGTGAGCGAGTCCTTGAGTATGCAGAGTCGCATAACCTCGTCATTCTGAACACAAGATTTCGTAAACGTGACTCCCATCTCATCACGTTCTACTAGGCGGAGTGCTAAGACAGCAAATAAGACTTCGTACTCATCAGGCATGGGCGACAAGACTCGTGACAGGATGGCTTAAGGTAGTGGCCGTATGAACGGTTGCCAGATCGCGCACGCCCACTGATCTGCACGCTCAGACTCGTAGCTCCCAGGCGGAGACAGGTAGCTGAACGAAGCGGTCCTGAAAGAATCAAGTGGTGGCGGCTGAAAGAGCGGGAGGCAGCTGTGATTTCTCGTATTCGACTACCTGAAGTCACAACTGTTCAGGAGACCTGGAACGAAGCCGTTAATTCTATAATCCAGGCCGCCCGCTCCGAACTCGGCACAACGAAGCCTGGACGGCGGAGGATTCGACAAAGAGACGCGTGGCTCTGGAGCGGGTATGAATGTCAAAGGCGAAGGTTCGAGAGAAGAAGAGGCTCGTATTGCACGCGTTTCTCGAGCAGAAGGGGTGACGCAACTGGCGGTAAGAACAGTATCGGAAGCTAGGAATGTGGCATAAGACGGCCGTGGCTGCTGCGAAGGCCGCTCACTTCGATGATATCAGCAAAGAAGCTGGAGACGCGCGACGGTGAGCGGTACCTGTATGGACTTGCCAAATCTCGTCATCGTCAAACCGAAGACATTGAGAAGTTTTTTGGCATAAATGATGAGAATGGCCACCTTCTGATGGACCGAAAAAGGGTATTACAACGATGGCGTGAATATTTCGAGGCATCTCAACCGTCGGAATTGCGCGGCCCAATTTCCCGCTATACCCTGTACCGCGCCAACACATGGCCCCGTTCAGAGGATTACCGTACAGGAAACCGAAGCTGCTCTGAGGAAGATGAAGGCCGGCAAAGCAAGCCCCGACGACATCGCAGCTTGATTGTTGTGAGTCTACAACGGCTGGTTTCCGTGCGGTTGGTTGACGAATACTCTTCAACCAGATCGTCGAAAAGGAGAAGGTGCCTAAGGACTGGCAGCAGAGCGTGACGATCCCGATTTGGAAGAAGAAGGGCAACCCGGCAGAGTGCTCGAACTACCGTCCAATTCGCCTTCTCTCGCACACTATGAAAATCTTCGAGCGAATTGTTGACGCGCCCGTGTTCGTGATATCGTCCAGCTTTCCACCAACCAGTGTGGCTTCGTGGCAGGTTGTAGCACCGTCTACGCCATACATGCCGCTCGCCTATTGCTGGAGAAACAGGTGAGAAGCGAAAGCCGCGTGCATGTGGCTTCTAGACGGCTGAGAAGGCCTTGCGATTCGTTCCAGTGACGTTATAATGGTACGCTGTTGAGCGGCATGGAGTGCCGCGAAGAGCTAATGAGTGGGGTTGTGCATCCTTTTACTCATGCGCTAGGGAGCCAAGTATTCGCTCACGGGGCAGGGGTGTCTCAGTGGAGTTTCCCATCACACCGGTGCCCTCGTGGCGGGTACAGTCGGGTAAATCCAGGCTCTGGCGCTTCCCCTTTCTTATTCGTTGCCGTCATGTATGCCTATATGCAGCAAGATGCTTCAGAAGAAGTGCCATTGGACCCTGCTTTACGCTGTGATGCTTGCTTGTAAAAATAAGAACGCACTGGAACAGCAGGTGCAAGCTTGGGCCGAGCGTCTGGCGAGGTTTGGACTCAAAGTGTGAACGTCAAAAGACCGAGTATTCTGACGCACGACCCAAATGAGGAGCAGGGCTCCATTAAAATCGATGACACGGTGCTCAAGCGCACGGAAACATTCAAGTATCTCGGATCAGCACTTGCGTCCGATGGCAGTCTGAACTCGGAAGTGAGCGACAAGTGAGTGCGGCATGGTATACGTTGGGATCCCATGTCTGGGTATCCTTTGCGAGCTGAAAGAGAATGCCAGAAGCGCTCAGTCAAAAAATCTATCGTAGTCTTGTGCGTCGCCGTGTCGCGTTATACATGGTGCGGAGTGCTGGCGCCGCGAGCCAAAGAAGTTGAGGGTTGCATGGTGTGATGGAGATGGAAGATGGCTGGCGTTGGACTGCGGGGTCGCGCGAGCGACCGCATTTGTACACGATGTCGTGGGCGCGAAGACAGTATGAGTGTAGCCCATAAGCAGAGAAATTGCGCGATAACGCGGCCCGATGGTAGCGAGGCGCGTAAACTTTGCGGCGAAGGCTGACCGCGTGGCCGTTAAAAAGTCTCTCGAACTCGAGGTACCAGGAGCTAGCGCTGTTTGGGACGCCCCTTTGGCCGCCCAGGAAAGCGGCCAAAGGGGGGTCCCAAACAGCGCTGGCTCGACACACTGCATACCGACTTAAAATTAGCCGGCATTTCACGCTCGATCAGCGTTCAATCGGGAAAAATGGCGTAGTTATATCAAAAGAGCGGACCCCGCCATCAAGCGGGACAAACGCTGAAGAAGAAGAAGACATTGGTGATGGGTGACAGGTGATCCTATCAGTCGATAAAAGCGCATAAGATACCATCTGCGCTGCATTTTTATCACATCTTACCCTATAATGCCGAGTACTATAGGCTCAATGTGTCAACTCTTTTCTTTGAAGGTAACAGAATCAAGGTCGTCCAATGAAGTACATGCTTCCAGATGCATGTAATGGTGTCGAGCGGGGGGGGGGCGTACGGGCGGCTGAAACGGGAAATGGGAAAATTGAGAATTCCTTTCCAAAGATATTTCCGCAAATCTTCCTGCTATGTGAGGTGTTAGGAGTGGCGGTAGCAAAATAAATAAGGAGGGAACCTGACGATTGGGAGTGGGCGTGGCGGTGGTAACATTCGAGCTTTCCGTGCGACACACACTTTGATATGTACATCAATTGGAACTTCTCCTTTTCACCGCCACCCATGACTATTTGTTATGCCTCTTCCGGGTGTTGCTCATCTGGACTAATCCATTTTTATCCGATGTGATCTAGCATTTTTAGCGCATCCTACCTCGCCGAAGATAAGAGTGCCTGGCGAAGCCAGGTTGGTCCGGCGAAGCCGGGTGATCCGACTAGTAACAAAATAAGTAAAAAAAAGTGACGAGCCCTAATTGAACAATCGGTTTCATTCAACTAGTCGCCGACGAAGGTGGGGGGAGGGGGGGGGACAGGGCACGCCATTGCGTTGTGATCATTTCCTGAAAAATACGCTCCCCTCTCCAAAAAGGGTCTTGATACGGCCCCCCGCCGATACGATATCCGTGCTCAATTTGCTGAGGGGAGTTTCTGGCTCTATGCTGTGTATGGAGATCGAGATTAACTCCTGAAAAAACGGAATCGAGTATACCGATACATCACCGTTCATATTACGAGAAACCAGAGCAGGAACCGTAAAATATTCGCATGTTTAAAAGCATCTACTGCTATCGCCTTGTCAGCCTCTGCTTAACAAAATTATGCTGATCAAGATTACATGCATTTTTGATCAAGTTGATCTTGAGCCGTTTCAAAAGTTCCTTTCCCTGGTGGTAGGACATTATATCATCAGGGAAAGGAGCTTTTAAAACGAACCTCTTCATTCTATGGTGATAGGACATTCAGTTGTGATTCAGACCTACTATTGCGAGCTCTCGAATGCGTACAAGTTCTGCCAGGCCTTCAAACGCGCAGAGAACGTGAAAGAACACACGCAAGCATGAGAAATTTACTGTCAGGCTAGTTACAAGATGCATAAGCTACATAATGAATCTGGCTCCTTCGTTTTACTAGACGCTGACTAGCTTCTATTTGCACGATTTTTTAGATTTTCAAGAAAATCACGGCTCAGTTACGGCAACTTACATCCTTGAATCTGAACTATATCAGCCCGATGTTGATGAGAGCTAAGGTCTTATCTTTGAGCAGCTTATAGACTGCTAGCGTACCAGGCATTTTTTTTGGTAGAAGTGGAAAATTTCTGTGAAAGGCGAGTAGTTCCGGTGGGAGATCTGTCGACGTAGTAGAATGTTCGTAACCTTCCCGTGGCAGGATTCGATCGGGTGGTGTTCATGTGGTCGAGGAGTTCCTACCGTGGCAGTGCCTCCGTCCTTTTCATGGATCTCATCTAATAAAAAAGTTTTTTGGTTCGTTTTCCACCATATTGCCTAACCCTATCTGGCATTGTGGGAAGTTGTAGAAAGTTCCAGATTGAGGGATAATCCGTGGTCAGCGGTTGGGCGGAGGAATGACAACCTACGATAATGATGACTTTTTGCAAAGAGCCATGTTTAGTAAGCTTCAAAAACTACGAAACGGTCGAAACCTTTGCTGATTAAAGTCGGCTTATTCAAGGACTTCTTAAACGAGCTTGCCGTACCGGGAACGTACGGTCCTTCACAACCAGTGGTCGGAATAGCGTCTATTGGCACTCATCTTCAAGTGATTAGTAGCAAGCAGAGAGCAAGAAAATTCGAGGTAAAACACCAGTAGCAGCCATTAGAAGAATAGAGAAGTGTGCTTTTTCAGGCACTAATGGGCGGGAATGTGCGCTCTTGTAGAAGGTCATGAAGATCTGCGCCAAGATGAGCGGGATGCAGTTGTTCGGACTTATCAATACGTTACTGGTGAACAATGCTTATTGTCGAAGGAACAATACAAGTTCGCTCTGAATTTATCGATATATTCTTCTTCCTAGCTGTTTTGGGAGAGCCGCAGATCATATATGAAACAAAGCTGATGGTTTTGTTGAAAGCTCTAGTGGAGAGCTGTGACACTTTTCTTCGGTTGGAGGAACCTATCTATGGCGTTGGCGTTCAACTACTGCCAGCTTATTTTCAGCGATCTTCTATCGTCGCACTCAGTCGTAATTCGGGTCTGATTGGGTGGGTACCTGTTTGTGACGCACTGCATCGCTAGTTCGGGACTACAGGGAGAAAAAGAAGGTATGTAAAGTTTGCTTTCTTCAAGATTAAGCCTAGATCAGGCTTCCTGGTGGTATGTTTGAGACAATTGAATGTTTTTACCACTTTGGGACTCACTTGGTATACTCTTTTTTTCATAAGAATCGCTTTACAAATTACTGTTCCTCAATTACTTCTTAATGCAATTCTTCAGATTTCCTTGTAGCTTGAGCACAAGGTGATGCAGTCGCTGGCACAAGACACGGAACAGGTCATCTTGATGCAGAAGGTGAGCTTCCCTGTTACCACATTGTAATATTGTCAGAGTGAGATAACTAGTTTGTAATAGGGCGGGAAGGAGGTGATGCAGTGGCGAGAGGTTCGCTTACCACACGTGTGATCGGAGGTCCAAATTCCGGCCCGGCTCCCACTCACACCAACTAATGGTTTCAGCATCTGAAAGTGCCAGGTTAGTTTTGTGGGCCACGTCGCTTTCAATATGCCACTAGACCGCATGAAGTTGAAATGCGTGCCGCGATTGAGCAGAGCGTATACTTTTTCAATGTCTTGGTGCACCCTCCTCCATGCTGATTTTTCGAATTAGTTTCTTCCTCTCTCTGTGTGTTACATATGGCAAGATTGCAGGAATATGAGCTAATTATTTGATGAAGCGTACCCCTCAAGTGGTCGTCACGCTTACTGGGCTACTGTTCTCTTTTCATATTTCCATAAGTGAGCCGCGTAGCACCCTTTCAGCTTAATGACTAGCCGTTGTTCATCAATTCTCTATAGATTACCCTCAGTGGAGCTGATCCAACTGCAAGGCGTGATTTGGGACGCCGCTGTTCGCTCCGGTCCTCAACGTAATCACAGTAAGTTGATTGGGTCAAAAATGGGTCAAGCAGGAGATTATATGAAGATGCGCAAGTACTGTTCCACCCCTAACCTTGAAGTCAGAATTTGAGAACCATGCCCCCGAGTTCTCTGAGGTATTTTGGCACGAATATAATATAAGGTGTTTTATCGTTTAAGTGCAACTGTTTGGAAGAGCCCTTGCGTTGACCACAGGAGATGATTTGCAGCAAATCTTGTGGCTGAAAAGTCCAAGGTGAGTTGACTTCATCCTACGCCATTCCTTTGGAATTGTGCGAAAAGGTGATGCAAATTGGCCCATCTTCACAAAGGAGGGGGATGGGGAGGGGAAGCATTGTAATGAATTTGTAACGACCTGTGAGAAGTATACGCACCCATTTGGTTGGCAATAATGACCGAAGTCACATCTTCGGAGCCGTGACGGATGTGGTGGGCCGCCGGGCAGCCGTATCGCGGATTTGGTGCTCATAAGGTCCATTCATACTTGGCATGGGCATGGGTGGCCGCAGAACAAGTGAAAAACCATCCTGGACATTTGTCGACCCCGCGACGGCTCGCTCAACAAAGATGTCGTCCTCCCACTACCAAGAGAAGAGACTCATCCGATCTCCTCCACTTTTTCAAATACACCTGCAGCAATGATGACCTCCTTCTTCTTCTTTCCATGGCGTTTATTGTTTTTTATATTGAGTTTTATGTTTCTGTACCACTGAACGGGAAGGTTTCAGTAATCAGGAAAGTACAACTTCTACAGAATGACTTTGGGGCATAACCCAATACACAAACCCAAAAGAGCCGAAAGTTTGCCTATAGGGATAAGCATTGGTCCTGATCACGATTCTGGCACATATTTTCAGCGTCCACGCATTCTGGCGTCAAAATGGCCCTGAATGTTCCTCAAATGAGTGTACCCAGCGAGTCCAGCATCAGAAAGATGTGGCTCCAAATTGGCGATAAAACAGCTGAAACTAAATGCCATTGTCCTGACTGAATAACATATAAAGATCAACTTTCAGAAAAACTCTTGCTCAAGAGCATGTGAAAACTGAAATTGCTGAATAACATAGACACATGGGGTATAAGTCAGACTATGCCCATAAATGGTAGATATCCAAAATTTATAAACAGTCTCATATGAAAGCGAGAACAGCTGAACATAAAAAATGAAAAAGCTCGAAAGCCGAGGGGAGTTCAACCATCAACTCCCACCTTCCCTGTCCGATTGAAAATCCTCCACGCTATCCACTAGGATTTCCGATTTTGTAGCTGAACACCGCCCGGATCGTTGAAGAAACCATTCCAGCGCAGAGGCGCGCACTCTTAGTCACTTGCCACAAATAAGGCCCCATTTGCGATTTTCTTCCTGGATTCCTGTAGTACCTTTATAATTACCCTCCACTCAGCAATTGATCAAAGTTGCAAGTGATTTAAAATCTCACTGAGACTCAAAAATTCGGTTTCCATGGACTTCTTTTTCACTATTGGTATTCCCAGAGGCGATCAGAAAAATGAACACCAGTTTGGTACTCAATGCAAGTGACCCCACATCATGTAAAAAGCCGTGTTCAAAAAACGCTCCACGTCGTGAATGACCTCCCTGGTTAAGGAGAGGAGGTGCGCTTCCCTTTTTTACTTAGAGGCTTCTTAGAAGAGCGAGCGAATGTTTTCCCTCATACTAAAGTCTTGTACACGGCAGTTCCGATGAGCTCATTTCAGGCTATGGAAGTGACCGTATCGAAGGCAACTACCGTTGAGCGTGTATCACGGTTGCTCCGAACTAATCGTAAAAGTTTGGTGGCTGTTCTGGAAGCGTTCGTCTACAACCCAGTGATACGATGACGACTGCTAGAGTGTTGAACCTCTTTACCTACTACCTTACTTCTAACCTCTTTACCATCCTCTGTAATTCTTTTCATTTACCGGCTTTGTAGATTTATTGCTTGTTTTCTTATATTGTCCTTATTTATCAGCTGAGTATGGTAATAGTTTTTAATGGCGAATTTCAGTTAGTGAGCGGCAACTGGGTAATTTATAATACAATATATCAAAACAAAATGCTTTAGGAACGAGGCCGTACCTGATGAGAAGCATGACGTCACTCGAAGGAAGACGCTACACAAAGCGCCTCGAATCGTTCGAGAACGTGTCATTAACAGAATTAAGCACAGACCAACCGGTAAGTTCCTTAATTTGTTGCCGACGGTAGTAACTAGTATTTTTTAGAAGTCAATCTCGGCCAACTAAGTAGTGATTCCTTGTTCAGGTAGCGATTTCGGAGTGGATGTACAGGAACAAGTTGATCGCCTTGTTGAGCAAGCAACACTTCATGAGAATCTTTGCCAATGTTATATAGGATGGTGCCATTTTGGTAGTGCCAACAACTATTCATTTTTTGTCGTTTTGCTTTTTATTGTGGTAGGTATAGCTTGGACCCAACCGTTCTCCATCTCTCCTTAGAGATATGAGTATTGAAAGTCAAGTCAACTTGTCCTGGGTAACAAGTACTGTTAACGTTGTGCAATCAATGCAGCTAGGAGAGAATCGGTATCTGTAGTTTTCGTAGCAATTGCTGCTTTATCAAGTTGTTAGGGAGTCAGAGCATTGTAGCTTCATATTGTTAATAGAAACTTCAAATGAACGATTACATTCCTACGTGGCTTTCGCTTTTTTTTGAAAATATTATTTTAGTTGGTGCTCTCGGCTGTGTTTCCCAAGCGGGCTCAAGACAGCTGATCGCAGACAGGTTACAATGAACAGTGAACCTTTTTCCGTCTTTCGCGTATCTGCCCAACTTCCCGCTCGGTGATCATAGTGCAGACAACAATCCCGCAACTTGAAAAAGGCTCACCTTTCAAAAAAGGAATGAATGCGCGGCTGAAACAGTGTGATGATTTCTTCGCTCGCAAGGCACGGAAACCAGGCTGGAGAGTAGGGTTATTCGGAGCAGTTTTACCCAGGGATTTGGTATTCATGCGTCCGAAAGGGTAAGGACGCTGGCATGTTTATCGGGCGATAAGCTATGAAGGATGAAGTCCTCCCCCCACCCCCATTGACAAACTCCGTAAGGGATGCGGCACGCATAGTACTCACCTTGCCAGCTCTTTTTTCCACCTGCTCTCAGCATTCGCAATGGAGACACAGTTGCGGAACGAGCGCACCACCTGGCACCGCTCAATAAAGAAAGTTGGGCGTTACCGTTGGTGACCTTTGGCATAGCAATAGTTAGCTGGAGAATCTCAAATATTTTTTCAATTCCAAGTGCTTCCCGAAGATGACAAGATTTGCTCGCTCATCCGTGGCTGGATGTTCACTCTTCTACGACTCACGAGAGTACAAAAAATTACGGTAACTATTGGTAATAGCGCAAAAAGGTGCAAAAGTTCATGGGCCACCGGTGGCTTATGTTGTCCTACTTAGCTCTCGCTTATGGGAAATCGGTGGCTCATGATGTCGACAGCACCCGAAATGCTATTATGGTAAGTGATGAGGGGAGGTAGTCGATAATGAGCACCAGAGAAAAGCGCTCCAAGAGTGCGTGCGGTTTGGTAACTGAGCTTCGTTTAGAAAGGGGCACGAAACGATTACTTCGTTTCATCAAACTTTTTCCGCTGCCTTTGTGGGTCTCCCATTGAATAGTGGACATAATAAAGTGAAGTATCGCTTTGTTATAGTAAAGTACACACGATTCGTGAAATGTGGGCTAAATAAAAGCAGTGGGAGCAGTGGAGGATTATCACGGTCGCTTGTGCTTTCTTCACGCTATCAGCATCAAAGGATGAAATTGGTCACCTTGGCTTTCTACTGTGCATAGCTTATTCAGTAATGGGAGATGATTGTCAAGTCTTCCATTCGACATTCGGAGTGTACAAAGGAAAGTTCCCTCGCAATCCGTTCAGAAGTCACTTCATGAACTTTGTACGTTATCCCAAAATGATCAGTTTTCTCAGAAGGCTATTGTGATTTCACTATTAAGTGAACAATTTGTAGAAGGATTCTGACCTGGTCAAACAATTGAGGATGCAGATAGATGGTGTGTCTCTCGACGTTATTGAGATCCAGAAGGTATGTGTCGTATCAGTTTGTGAGCTGCAAACACGTTTTACATTGTTCTCTAAGGGCAAACTGTACAACCATATCCGAGGACGTCCTTTGCCATATGCGAGGAAAAGGGCTTCGCAGCAGTGCCGTCTCAGAATAGTTCGTGACGGCGAATCCCGTCATCCTCCCTACATTCCTCACCTTCCTTCTTTTTCTCCTGTCACTGCCTCTCTTTCCTCTTGCTTTTGCCCTCCCCTTCGAATCCCCTTCGAATGCATTCAACAGAATGCA